TTAATTATTTACGAAAAATACTTTGGATGATTTAAAATATTAGGAAGTCAATTAAAATATTTTAGATTAGTCTACAATTTGTTTTAAAATACCGATTAGCTTTCTTTTATTTAATTCAAATGAACTATTTTCGCTTGTCTATTACAAGCGTATTCCAAAATTACTTTGGCGCACGTGTGCGCCAATAATGTCAAATTATGACAATTCACGAAAAACGTCAACTTTCTAGTTAGATTTGAATATGCTAAAGCCTACTTTGGATAGTAATCGTAGTGTTCTTGGCTATTTTATTCTATTTATGAGCTATATCTGACGTTTTCAATACAGTTGTGATCAACTGTAATAAGGAAATAAATTATTTCTACTCTATTATATTCTAATATGCTACTGTAATCTTAGGATTGGTCACTAATTTTGATAAAAGTTTTTCTTACCACATTTTATGAAGAACCTTATCTACAATAGCTTTTTTATACAAGATAAGGCAAAAAGAAATACAAATATTTTAGGAAGTGATAGAAAAATGAAAATTAAGTCAGTTTGCTATATAAACTAATGTCCAATACTCTGAAATGAGGGAGATAAAGCCATTCAATGGTGGATGGAAAAACCAGTTTTTCCGTCCTTACTTCCAACCGTCGCAAACTATCAACTTGGAGAACTTAAAAGTTTTATATCATTTGATTTAATGGTAAAACAAAAGAAAAAAAAATTTAAAGGGGTGTTTTAAGGGGGGTTGGGTATGCTTACCTCTGGTTTTTTTAGTTTCTTTTCATAAAAATTGTTTAACAAAAACAAATTTCCAGAGTTTTTCATATACAAAAAAAGGTGTTCTTGTTTAAACACGATGGAATGGACCATTTTTAAATAATTTGACTTTTAAAAATAGATAATTTTTAACGTAACAATGATAACAGCATTGCCAAATCTCAAGTTTAATCATTAATGAATCTTATACATAGAAACTTAATAATTAAACTATAAAATAAAACTAAAAGAAATGTTCAAAATGTCCTTCATTTTGTTCAATACATAGATTTAGTCGTCGTCTCATATTGATAAAGTGTTATTACCCTCATCATAAATGAATCGTGTTAACAAATAAAATCAATAAAAGGTCTCATAATTTTTCATCTTTTAAACCGGCCCAAAACATCTCCCTACTCCTTCCACCCAGTTTTTTGGTTTTGGCAAAATTCGCGCAGCGGCAAGCCTCTTTGGTTGCAACAAAATACAAAGGGTAGCCTCGATTAAAATTTACTGAAAGCAGGGCTGGTCTAAGGGGGTCGCAATATAGCGTCCACCTTGGACGCCATTTTGTCCGAAATAGTAGTCGCCAGGCTTACCAATATAAGAAAAAAAATATCATTGTTTTTTTTAATGACATTTTCATTATAAAATGCCCAGATTTTTTAGGATAAAATATTTCAATTTAATAATTTTAATCAATTATTAATATTCTCACATGTACATAAAATAAATCGTGAAAAGTAGATCACTTTCAATTTTGTGCTGTTTTGGTTTATTTTAAAAATAATATGAAAAGATAAAGACAATTTTCTTATAGATGAGGATGCACAACAAATTGTGGCTTCCTTTCTTAGGGCTCCAGTCCTCTAAGTCTATTTAGTTTAGATCTTTTTACATTGTAATAGGTATTATTCACTTCATTTGTATGTTTTTATTTAATTTGAATAAAAAATTTGTGTAATATCTTGTGATTTGTTTTCTATACATTTTAGGATGTATTTGTTCGCACCATCTTACAAAGGATGGCTTTGAAATACCTTTACAACTGCAACGATTGCAGTTTCTACAGAACATTTCCAATAAAAAAGAAGCTTTTGTCTGCATGCAGAATAACAGCATAGGTTAACAAAAAACAAAAAACTGGCATAAAAGATAGAAAAACCTTTGTCTAGCTTTGCGGCAATAGTTTAGTAATCACGCAAAATATTTCAGTATCTCCAAAATATAAACTTATGAAAACTATAATAGGAAACATGTATGGCTTCGAATAGGAAATTACCCAAATTAGCATATCTAGTGAATATTTAGTTTAAAAATATATTTTTAATCATAACTTTTGAACTTCTACTTTATTATTAATCATACAGAAATACATATGCATTTTATAGTATTAAGTAAGATAAAGATTAAATGTACCCACAATTTATAAACATTATTAAACAAAAATAACACCTATTTTTTATTTAAATAAAACTTGATAAACAAAATATATTAATATTGAAAATTGTACAAATTGTACATTTACTTTTAATATTAGTGGCAAAAACAACGTTTAAGCTTAATTTATTGTTCATAACACAGTTGTTCCTAAAGTTTTGGCTAAATTATTTTTCTTAACACAGTTATAGTACTTTTTCAATGTTAATCGATGCTAATTATTAGTTATTAAATATTTTGCTATTAAATTACGCTTTTTATTCTTCTGCACTTAGTGTCGCCTAAATAAAACATTTTTTGGTTTTTGCAGTAGAAAAAATATTGTATGCAACTCGTGCAAAAAGTGTTTATTGCACTTACTTTTTGCACTTGTTGCATAAATAACTATAAAATATTTGGCACCGTTGTAACAATATGCAGTTACTCTATAGGGTGAATTTAGGCGGGAAATTTTATCAAAAATGGTTTTTCAATCCCAATTTTCTTCTAAATGAATAACTAAATGGATAAATTAATATTTTTTTCTTAAAATATACAACATTATTGATTGTTTCGAAGTAAATAAGATGCGCAGTTATAAGTCCATTACCTGACCTTAAGGGTATTTGTTTCGTGCTGACCGTTGGTTTTTGCTCAACAATATTTGGAATTTGTTCTTCGGCTTCTTCTGTTCTGGCAATTCGTGGTCAACATGCATTATTTTTTACTTTCAGTTTTTATGTTTCCCAAAATCGTCTTTCAAAGTTAGGAAATGTCTTCAAATTAGGTACATTTCGAAGAGGAAATTTTTCTGCATATTATGTTCTGACTGCATCATTAATTTTTTCTAGCATGTCAGTATACTCGTTAAATGTGAACATGTCTTAACAAAAATAATACTAGCACGAATAACACACCGTATTGTCACTTTTACTTGAACAAGATTATGACATTCCATAGCTTATTTTATAGTTTACTGTGAAACAATACATGGCATACTTTTAATAATAATAAAGATATTATGAATAATATCTATGCACTTACATTTTAAAAGTCAAATCATTCAAAAACGGTTCACTCCATCACGTTTAAACAAGAATACTTTTTTGTAGGAAAAACTATGGAAATTTGTTTTTCTAAAACAACTTTTTTGATAAGATAAAATTTTAAAAAATAGGGGTAATTATTGTTCTTTTTGTTTTACCTTTAAATCAAATGATATAAAACTGTTAATTCTCCAAGAAATTTGCTTCGGTTGGAAGTTAGGACCGAAAAACTGGTTTTTCCATTCCCCTTATTTAAAAATTTCGGATATTAATGTATATAGCAAACTGACCCTAATTTTCATTGTTCTATAACCTCCTTAAATATTTGTATTTATTTTTGACTAGCATAACAAGTTTACCTGATGAGGGTTTTAAAGCCAAAACTTCATTTGCAGCATACTGTCCTATATTTTTTTATTTTATATAAATATTTCTATTATTTACATTGCAAATTTCAATCAAGAAGAATAAAAGAAAACAGAAGTAATTATTTCCAAATTTTCAAAAAATTATAGTTTTAGTAAAATAATATTTTGAAATTTTAAAACAATTATCTTTGGGCTGTAATTATGTCAAACAAAATACTGTTTTTCAAATGATTAGATCAAAATTTGATTTGATACAATTCTGTTAATAATAAAATACTTCTGTTTAAATTAATAAAATTACTTTTTTGTGTATATATGTATAATAAGAATATATTATATCAATGCTGAAAATTTAAACCAGAAAAAAACACGTTCAATTGCAATTTTTCAAAAAATCAATAAATCAAAAGGCATTATCATTCATTGGGTCAAAAGATTATTCCGATAAAATTCACGAAAATAATCAAAATAAAAAGTTAAAAATTGAATTATTAAAATATTCAATAACTGATCTATGATCTAATGGTAACATAGCAAAAGAAACAAACAGTAGCAAAAGCCATAAAAACACTCGTTTTATCGTTTTGGTAATTTTTTTTAGGTACTGTAAATTTTTTGTCTATTTTTTGATCTATAATGTATCTAGAGTCAAGGGATTCATTTTAAGTATATTTAAATATTACTCTATAACAAAATTAATAGGTACATAAAAAAAGCCATCTGATTGACTAGAAGCCAAACAGACAAAGAAACTCAATCAGATGTCTTTATCTAACTCTATTTTTATTAAATAATTTGAAAATTCGGGAACAAATCTTAAAAACCTCCCTACGAATTATTAAGACCATCCCCGAACCCCAAAGGTGAAAACAAATACTTGGAGATTTGAAAAAAGCCTGTCACCGTCAGGATTCGAATCTAGACATCTTTGTTCTCTACAAAAATATTCTTACCGCTAGACTATGATGACATTGACTGTCGAGATTCCTAAACAGCAATTTGATGTACTAGTTCGGGCCAGACGCCTTTCGGTAACTCATATATACCGATGCTGTATTTGAAGATTTGAGAACGGAGCCTGAAACGGCGTCTGACACGAACTAGTACATCACATTACTGTCTAGGAATCTCGACAGCCAATTTCGTCATGGTCTAGCGGTAAGGGCAAGTATGTACATAACCCGGCAGTGACAGGCTTTTCTTTAAATCTCCAAGTATTTGTTATCACCTTTGGGGTTTGGGAATGGTCTTAATAATTCCAGGGAGGATTTTATTTGTTACCAAATTTTTAAAATTATTTCAGATAATTCACAATTTTCTATTTTTATTATTAGATAATTTAATAAGTTGATATTTGATTTGTAATATTTTTAAATCTTGATACAATTATTCTGTTAATATTTTATTCTAAATTTTTTAGGTTAAAATGTGGTCAAGATTTTTTATTCTCTTCTTTATTTTGAAGTCAACATCGTGCGTTCAAAAATTACAAGAATTTTTCGAATGGAACATCATAGATTTCGAGTATCCCACGGATAGTCATCGCACTAATGCTATTCTAACAGGCAAATTCAAACCCGAAAACGCTTTACCAGTTGGAATAGAAATATGGCATGACAAAATGTTTATATCTGTACCAAGATGGAGAGAAGGTAATATTTAGTAATTTTTGCGCATCCATTATATCCGGTTTATTGATATGACAACCTAGGAGTCACCCTAAGTATAACGTTTCAAATATATCATAAATGTTTATTATTTCTGTGTATGGGCTTGTTTTAGTTCTTTTACTGAGTAGTTTAGAATCAGTTTGCCCTAAATCAGCTCAACAGGTAATCTCGCAAAATATAAATTGAAGAGCTTTGGAGCAAAATCGAATAAATCCAGTATACTCGATTTTTGTGAAAACACGATTTTCCAATTGCAAAAAAATACTAGTTTGCTTCGTTTGTTTTGTTAGAAAATACTGTTGGAGACGTCATAAATAATACATCCTTTGCATTAAAATTTAAAAAAGTAATTTTTATTGAAAATAAAACAAATAAAAATAAACTTATTCGATTTTGCTTAAAATCACTGGATTTATTTGGTTTTGTTTAAAACTATATTAACAAAAAGGGAATTTATTCAGTTTGCTAGAAATTACTAGATTTATATGGTTTTGAGAAACAGCAATAAAAACATTATTTTAAACCTAAAACCAAAAAATAAAATAAAGATAACTTTAAAATAAATGTAAATTCTTAAACACCTATACGTTACAGATTGAAAAAATAATGATAACTATATAAAGAGGATTAAACACAAACAATTAACTTAAAAATATCATCAAAGTTTTAACTGTACAACAAGAAAGCTTAAAAATTCATCAAATGTGCCCAATATTCTGACTGAACCAAAACAAACGCGTTAATAATGCTTTTAATACTTTTTAGGTATTCCTGCAACTTTAAACTATGTTCCATTGGACAGTCCCGTCAAAAATCCAAGATTAATTCCGTACCCAGACTGGCCTTCCAACGAACTAGGTAACTGCGAACACGGCTTAAGCACAGTATACAGGATAAAAGCTGACGAATGTGACAGGTTATGGGTACTGGATACCGGAACGTTTGGTATAGATAATACCACCCAAAATCCTTGTCCGTATGCGCTCAATATATTCGATCTTAGAACCAATCAAAGGATCAGAAGATACGAGCTAAGGGCTGAAGATATAAACGAAGATACATTCATAGCTAATATAGCTGTAGATTTAGGTAAAATGTTTTTTGTGTTAGTTTGAATTGCACCTAGCTATATTTCAGCCAACCAGCAATTTTTCTTTATTATATACTAACGTAAACTTTGGTAAATGAAATTAAACTTGAGTAAACTTAAGTAAACCTGAGTAAACTTAAGTAAACTTGAGTAAACTTGAGTAAACTTGAGTAAACTTGAGTAAACTTGAGTAAACTTGAGTAAACTTGAGTAAACTTGAGTAAACTTGAGTAAACTTGAGTAAACTTGAGTAAACTTAAGTAAACCTGAGTAAACTTGAGTAAACTTGAGTAAACTTGGGTAAACTTGAGTAAACTTGAATAAACTTGAGTAATCTTGAGTGAACTTGAGTAAACTTGAGTGAACTTGAGTAAACTTAAGTAAACTTAAAACAACTATATTACACAGTGTATTAAGATCTAATTTATTTTTGGATTATATTATCGCTTATTATCATTATCACCTAAGTAAAAGGTTTTTTCTATTTTAAGGTAAAACGTGTGACGACGCGCATGCTTACTTCAGCGATGAACTGGGTTATGGACTTATAGTATACTCTTTTAAAGAAAATAAATCTTGGAGATTTTCTCACAGCTATTTCTTGCCCGATCCTTTGAGAGGAGACTATACTATAGACAAGCTCAATTTCCAGTGGGGAGAAGAGGGTATATTTGGTATGAGTTTGAGTCCACCTCAAGAAGATGGTTCCAAATGGTTGTATTTCAGTCCACTAGCTTCGCATAGAGAATTTGCGGTATCAACAAAAACTTTAAAAGACAGTTCTAAAGTTGATAAGAGTTGGAAGGAGTTCTTTCCTCTAAACGAAAGAGGTCCAAATTCGCATACAACTTCTAGAGTAATGGACGATTATGGAGTGCAATTCTTTAATTTAATAGACCAAAATGCCATTGGTTGTTGGAATTCGCAAAACCCTTATCATAAGAAAAATCATGCCGTCGTAGACAAGGATGACGTTGGACTTATCTTTCCTGCTGATGTTAAAGTCGATAGAAATAGAAATCTGTGGGTAATTAGCGACAGAATGTCTAATTTCTTATTGGCTTCGCTTAATTACGGAGAAATTAATTTCAGAGTCTATTTCGCACCCATCGATCAACTTATCAAAGGTACAGTTTGCGACACAACACCACTGAATCAGTATTACAACAGTAAGTATTATGTTAACAACAATCAGTATTTTGCCAAGTTTCCTTTACAGAAACAGTACCAAATATTTGGAGGCAATTTGTTATTTTAAGATTATTTTATTTTTTTGGAAAAATAAATGCAGTATTAAATATGTTTTTGTTTTATTTTAAAGAAAATACCATGGAAATTGTTTATGCTTTACAAATCTAATAAATAATATGCATGTTGAATTTTTTTTTAGAAATCTGGTTATATCTCGTATGCAGTTTTTACCACTGATTTAAGATTAGACTTAATTAACGAAGTAATCAGCGAGAACCAGGTTAACTTCCGTTTAGTGAAACCAGAGTAATCTATATTTAAATAAAAGTACATAACATTTACTCCGGAAAGAAAACAGATATCTTAACCGATTTTAGATGATATTTTGATAATTCAGTAATATTTTACCATTTTTTTTATTTTTATGAAACTTTTAATATACTTAAAAAGAAAATTAGGAACAATACATGAAAAATAGGCTAATGGCCATAGTAGTCGACGCCAATGACACCAAATTAAAAAAAAATACATGAAAAATGGCTCATAAAATAAACTATAAAAAAATATTAGACTTACTTTGTATACGCTTGCGGCAAACTGTCTGTTTCCAACTGCTAAAGCCTGGAGATTGTCTTCTTCGGTTGGTGCGGCCCAAACGGCGCAAGCGCAAACTAATAAAATTATGGCACACTTCATTTTAATTCGTCAAACCTGCAAGTATGAAATATAATGCATAAATATTTTGCCAGTATGTATTTATTTCATAAATAAAAGATTAGATTAGAAGATTAAAAAGTCGATTAGTGTCACAGGGTGTGTCATATATGTGACAAATTGGAATTATGTTATTCTTCGATATCGTCAAGGGTATGGTCCGTTATTAATCGAAATATCGGTTACTCGGTCCAAAACTAACCGCTCTACTTGACCTTCCTGAAAAATCGGTTAATTTAGGGACGCGGTTACCTGAAAAATGGTGACTTAAACGTCAATTTACTAACCGCTATATTTTTACGGTTACTATTAAGTCGAATGTCAATATGTCACAAAAGTGACGTAAACACATACTTTGATTTTCTTTTACTATACGGAGAATGGTCGCACTGCGCAGATTTCTGAGTGTCTTTTAAAAGAAGATAGAAAACTCCGCCATTTTGAAGCCTTATTACGTGTTGCCTACATCTTGGCGCAATATTTTTAATAGGTGCGTTTTAATCATCCGCTTCTGCTTCGGAATTATCAGTTTTCTCGTTTTAATCTGACAGGTTAAAACGACTAAACCGACAATTCCGGAAGCAGAAGCGGATGATTAAAACGCACCTGATATTTTGCTTGCTGCTGTCAGTGTCAGTGAATATTATTTTTGAAGTCACAGTTTATTGCTAAAGAATCAGTTTGCTCACTCGGACCAGTTGAAAGTTCCAAAATAACATCCACTCCAGGGATACAAATTCAGGATACGTAGAAGACTGCCGTTTTATTATAGGCGGTTGTCATATATTGTATTATCCGAGTTGCACAGTGTATAAACTGAAACATTGAGATCCAAAGTGCCGACGCAGTGTGAGCGATCTGATTCTTTAGCTGTAAACTGTATCACAGGGTTCAAAATGGCCGCACCCTATGTTGGGCGTGTCGGACCTCTCTCTTGACTCGTATAGTAATCAAAGTATGTGGACGTAAATATCGGCCGTGGTCCAAAAGTAACCAAGAAATTAGTTATTTTTCAGGAACTGCTGTCAAAAAATCCTGGTTACTTACGGTTAGTAGTCGGTTAATAACGGACAATACCCCAAATGTTACAAATTTTTATGTATATGACATACGACATATTATTGATGTCCGAGAATAACTACTACAGAAGGTGAGTTCGGGCTACGCACTCTTTTCACTCTATTCACTCCTAAAGTACCTAAGGCGTTCGGGAACGGAAGGAGTTAAAATAAAAGTTCCTTTTTTACCGTTCGGAGATCATAAAGTGGAGTGTGGATAGGGCATGTGCATAAGGTGATTTAAATCGATAATAATTGTGATTGATTTTTTAGTAAAAAGTTTTTTTTGGTTCCCGTGAATATCATTAATATGGAAGAAACTTATACGGTCGTTACTGATAAGTACGATTATATTACTGGTATGTCACATTGACAACTGACATTGCGCTCCGATAGTAAAAGGGGTAAAATCATATGCGCACTCCGTTTACGCCTAATTACTCCACTCCACTCTAGAGTGCGACAAAGCCATTCCCGCAAAAAAAGGAGTGGGGGTTAATCCGGCCAACTGTCATTTTAATTTCAATACTTTTGCTACATAGATAACTTGTCAGCTTGCCAGTTTAAATAGTTTAGTCGTGATTCTTGCTATTTGTCTATTCGTTTTGTTTGATTTAAAAATATATTTTATTTTTATAAAAAAAATTTATATCTCTCTTGTCCTCGCCTTATAACTGGTCGCTTGGCTACGACGATTACCCTCTGTCATCGTTACCAGTTTATATACAGTTTGTATCAAAAATTGCTATGGAATCATTATTGTCTCGTCTCTTTTAAGCTTTTTCAGTGAATGCAAAATTGGCAGTTATGGTGGTATATCAAAAAATGTTCAAAATTAAATTAAAATCGAAATATCTCGTTCAAAATCGTTATTTTGGCGTAAAATTAGAAACAAGTTTTTTTAATAACTTCCGAGATAACTTTTTCATATTTCAAGAATGCCATTTTTGAGCGATTTTTCAAATATTTGCGAATTTGACCGATAAGTAACTTACATTAGTAGCCAATTTTGATAGGGACAATTATTAAAGTTTTTAGGGACAATTATTAAGTTTTTAAGTAAGCAGAGGTGATTGCCCTACGACGTTATTTCCAATGGTAATATCAAAAAAAAATCCAAAACTATGGCACACACTGTATAAAAAGGTAAATTATGAGAACTAGGAAAAAATATAACAAGATTATATAAATTACATAAGTTACAACAATATTCTTTAGTTAAAACACATTGTTTCTGTTTTAACTAAAGAATGTGACCATCCATTATTATTGTTATGTATCAATTGTAACTTATGTGAGTTATATATTCTTTTTTTCTACATGCGGATAGATATAATTTATTTTACGCACAGAGTACAGATGCAGATCGAAAAAGTAGGCCATTGCGTTCTACTGAACTGATATAATTTCATATCTATTCTAATAATGAAATCTACCTTTTATTTTTAATATTTGGTGACTAGCTACTATTATTTTTAAAAATTTTAAATAGGTGATAATTTTGACAAACTAATTTTTAGAACATTTTATAATTATTGATAATGAATTTAAAAGTGGCTAAATGAGAACATTAGCACAGTAGATTTTAAAAAAATCCTAAACAGAGACTAAAAATCCAATTAAAAATGGGTCAGTAGGATTCTCAAATAAACCTTGAAGGTTGCAGTGTTGCCACACTTGAGCCCTAGATGTTCTTGGGACGAACTATGGTCCGAAAAACAGAAACCTTTTTCGGAGGAACATGTTTTTATAGAGATACAATAATATTAATAATTGTTTCTACACTCACATGGATATTATCTACTCTAAGTACAGACAAAAAAAACGAAAACGTAGGAAATTGCGTTCTACTAAACGAATATAATTTCGTAACCATTCTAGTACTGATATAAAATCCACCAATCACACTTAATTTTTGATGACCGTGCTACTATTATTTTTTAAAAGTTTAAATAGGTGACAGTTCTGTCAAACTAATAGTTGTCAGAATATATTTTTTAGTTATTGTGATTTAACCTAAATAAAAATCTGATGTGTTCAACACATGACTTTCCTATCTAGTTATTACGGCTTTTTCGGTTATTTTGTACAACCTATTGTAGCACCTCTGTAAATATTTAGAGGTTAACTTAATATATACATTTTCCACATACATCTAACTCGAAACATTTTTCTATATACACTCACAGCCAATGACAATGCTGAAAAATTTTCATTACGGCCCATTTTAGATAAATCATGTAAAAACAAAAATTAATAGAGATCGATATCACAAATAATATATTCCATAAAATATAAAAACGACTTTCTATAAAGTACCCCCAGATGTTCCGACTCTGCCCAAAATCTAATCAGTTCACCTTAGGCCAGAATAAAGCTTAAGTTTAAAATTTAATGTGTTTTTCTTAATCCGTTTTTGAGTTTTCTTTAAAATTCGAAATTTACACTTTTTCTCAAATATCTTGAATGCGGACCATTTTAGAGAAATTATGTATGGGACAAAAATTATAGAGAATTATATCTCAAACAACTTTTATTTAAACAATTTTCATAAAAATTTTCATAAAAATTTAATTTTTTTTACATTTTGTCAAATTTCTCAAATACGGACCATTTTAGGAAAATTTTGTACAAAAATTATATAGAATAATATAAGAAGTAACTTTTATTTAAATAATTTTCTTTTTTAAACGTAAATAACAGATGTTTCATAAAATATAAAAATCTGATGTGTCCAACACATGACTTTCCTATCTAGTTATTACAGGCTTTTTTTGGTTATTTTGTACAACCTATTGAAGCACCTCTGTAAATATTTATAGAATAACTTAATATATACATTTTCCACATACATCTAACTCGAAACATTTTTTTATATATACTCATTGCCAACGAAAATGCTAAAAAATTTAAATTTTATAATTTTCCTCCAATTTTTCCATTACGGTCCATTTTAGAGACATCTTGGAAAAAATAAATTATAGAGATCGGTATCGCAAACATCTTTTAGTTCAACCATTTTCTTTAAAATCAGAATTTTTTATATTTTGAAAAATTTTTCGGATACGGACCATTTTAGGAAAATTTTGTAAAAAACAAAAATTATAGAGAATAATGTAAGAAGCAACTTTTATTTAAAGAATTTTCTTCTCCAAACGTAAATGACAGATATATTTCATAAAATATAAAAATGAACCCCTATAAAATACCCCCCCCCCCCCCCCCCAATGTTTCGACTCTGCCCAAAATCTAATCAGTTGACCTTAGGCCGGAATAAAGCTTAAGTTTAAAATGTAATGTTTTCTTTATCCGTTTTTGAGTTTTCTTTAAAATTCGAAATTTACACTTTTTCTCAAATATCTCGAAAACGGTTTATTTTAGAGAAATCATGTATAGGACACAAAATATAGAGAATTATATCACAAACAACTTCTATTTAAACAATTTTCATAAAAATATGATATTTTACTGTGGTGTTCACTTGCGAAACTACCTGTATATATTTTACCTTCTTGTTGTTTCTATAGTTTTAAGTTGTTATGGTTTTTGTGAAGTTTGTTATATAATATATTTAGATGATCTATATGCATCAAGTTTTGAAAATACATCATCTCTAACAGAAGCCTTGCATATTATTAAAAAATCAAAAACTTTATATTTTATGGTATGGCGCACCGCCACCATAAATGGTGACCCCCACGTGATCTTTCCAAATTGAAAGAAATTTCAGTAATTGGACACATTTAAATCTCCTGATCCAAAAAACGACTAAAACCCACTATTTCGACGACAAATAGTGCAGATATTTCAAACAAAAGTCGTCGCCTTTTTATCTTTGATAAAAACAATAAATTAAAATTTCTTATCGATACAGGGGCAGATATTTCTGTAGTTCCACGTGACGTTTTTAAAGATTACAAAAAGGATAGCAACAACTTCTTAACTGCTGTTAATGGTTCTTCTATTTGTACTTATGGAAAAAAGATACTCAGATTGGATCTAGGTTTAAGAAGACATTTTTCTTTCATTTTTACAATCGCCGATATTTCTAGGCCAATCATTGGTGCAGATTTTTTATCACATTTTAACTTGATAGTCGATCTCCGAAACAGAAAACTCATTGATAGTCAAACTTCCTTTGCAATTTCCAGTGTATTTGTAAACACTGACACCCCCACACTCAAAATATTCTCGATTGAAAACGAATACACGAAGCTAGCTCAAAATTATCCTTATTTATTTGCACCAGCGGACTTTTTCTCACCAGTCAAACATTCAGTCAAACATCACATAATTACTAAAGGACGCCTTCCGTTTTCTCGTCCACGACGTCTTAATCCTAATAAACATATTCGAAGTCGAACAAATGGTTGAACTTGGCATATGCAGGCCGTCATCTTCTCCAGTAGCTTCTCCATTACACATGGTGCCCAAAAAATATTCTTTCGAAAGGCGACCTTGTGGCGACTATAGGCAACTCAACAATGTAACTGTCCCAGATAGGTACCCCTTACCCAATATTCAAGATTTTAATCAACACATACACGGATGTAAAATTTTTTCAAAAATTGACTTGGTTAGGGCTTACCACCAAATCCCGGTAGCAGACGAAGATGTTTATAAGACTGTCATAACTACCCCTTTTGGCCTGTATGAATTTTTGAGAATGCCTTTCGGTATGCGAAATTCAGCACAAACGTTTCAACGTTTTACAAATGAAGTTGTTTCTGGTTTACCTTTTCTATTCGTGTATATAGATGATATATTAGTAGCAAGCAGAGATGAAAAAGAACATTTAGTACACCTCAAAACTCTATTTGAGCGTCTCAATTCTTTTGGAGTTAATCTTAAACCAAATAAATGCATTTTTGGATCTCAAAAATTAATATTTCTTGGCCATACTGTTTCCTCTGATGGTATCCTCCCATCAGAAGAACGTGTAGACATCATAAGAAATTTTCCACGTCCAAAAAATCTCAAACAACTACAACGTTTTGTAGGAATGATCAACTTCTATCACAGATTTATTAAATACTTTGCTAAATCACTTATTCCTCTATATGAAATAATTACTACATTACAAAACCAATCCGATAAAACTATCAACCATTGGTCTGATGAATGTGAAAATAGTTTTGTGGATGTCAAAAACAAATTAGCCAATGCTACTATGCTTATCCATCCTTCTCTAAATGATCATATTTCTTTGACAGTAGATGCATCCAATACTTCTATAGGTGCTGTACTAGAACAGCTGCAAAACAAGAGATGGCAACCTATAGCTTACTTTTCAAAGAAACTCACTCTTACCGAAAGAAAATACTCTACTTTTGATCGTGAACTGTTAGCCATTTATGCATCCATCAAACATTTTAGATATTTTCTAGAAGGCCACGATTTTACAATTTATACCGACCATAAACCTCTTACTAAAACTCTTACGTCCTCTTCAGAAAAAAGCCTACGTCAATTTCGTTTCCTACAATTTATTGCTTAATTTACTTCTGACATATGTCATATTCAAGGTAAGTCCAATGTGGTCGCTGACACCTTATCACGAGTAGACGATAGTATTTTCTGTTTAAATGAAAATTTAATTAATATAAAATCGTTGAACGATTCTCAAAATACTGACATAGAATTAAAAAACCTTTTAAAAAATCAATCAACCAAAACACAAAACAAACACATATTAGAACTCATAAAAATTTCTCATGAGGATATAGAAATATGGTGTGAAGTATAATCACCTATACAACGTCCTTACATACCTAAAAACCTCAGATACAGCGTGTATGAACATTTGCACAATATTTGTCATCCTGGTATCAAAGCATCTAAAAAACTTGTAGGCAGTAAATATTTTTGGCCACACATGACTTCAGACATCAAACTCTGGGCAAAATCATGTCTAAATTGTCAGCGTTCAAAAGTACACAAACACAATAATTCCCCACTAGAAAGTTTTACCATTCCTAAAGGAAGATTCCAACATATCCATGTAGATCTAGTAGGACCTTTTCCTCAATCGTCCAACTATCGTTATATCCTAACGATCGTAGAAAGATTCACAAGATGGCCTGAAGCTTACCCAATTTCGAATATCGCCGCGGAAACAGTTGCCAAATGTTTATTTAACCGGTACATTTGTCGTTTTGGCGTACCTCACACAATTACAACTGACCAAGGTACTCAATTTGAATCCGGGTTATTTTTGGAGTTAACAAAATGTTTAGGGTGTCACAAAATCCATACTTATCACCCTCAAAGTAACGGTTTGGTAGAACGTTTTCACCGCACTTTTAAAACTGCCTTAATAGCTAGATGTAATACAAATCGCTGGAAAGATGAACTTCCCTTAATTTTACTAGGTTTACGAGCTACAGTCAAAGAGGATCTTCATTGCTCTTCGGCTGAACTCGTATACGGACAAACTCTGCGATTACCCGGTGAATTTTTTGTTAATTCTAATGATACCATTGACACTTATCCTTTATTGGCCAATCTAAGACAACTATTTGCGAACATCAAATCATAGCAAGGAAAAACCTTTTGTGTATCCTGAGTTAGATTCATGTAAATACGTTTTTGTCAGAGTTGAGGGAATCAAGCCGTCTCTCAAACCACCTTATGAAGGACCCTATAAAGTTATAAAAAGATTCTCAAACAATATCGTTATAGAGAAGGGTGAAAAAGATACTATTATCAGTATCGACAGGGTAAAACCTGCTTTTCTACTAACTAGCGAATCTGAGAATATATATCAAAAAACTAACAAAAAGAAAGTCTCCTTCGCAGTAAACACTTATAATCAAACATAAGTAATTTTTTTTCAGAAGGGGGAATATTTGTGGTATTCACTTGCGAAACTACCTGTATATATTTTACCTTCTTGTTGTTTCTATAGTTTTAAGTTGTTATGGTTTTTGTGAAGTTTGTTATATAATATATTTAGATGATCTGTATGTATCAAGTTTTGAAAATACAGAAGCCTTGCATATTATTAAAAAATCAAAAACTTTATATTTTATGGTATGGCGCACCGCCACCATATTTACATTTTGTCAAATTTCTCGAATGCGGACCATTTTAGGAAAATTTTGTATAGAAGTAGAATTACAGTGAATAATATAAGAAATAACTTTTATTTGAAAAATGTTCTCCCCCCCCCCCCCAGATGTTCCGACTCTGCTCAAAAACTAATCAGTTCACCGCAAGCCGGAATAAAGCTTAAGTATAAAATTTGGTGATTTTCTTTGTATTCGTTCATGAGTTATCATGGATACAGACACGCACACACACACAGACATCATCGCAAAAATAGTCAAAACGGATTCAGGGGACCCCAAAACGTAAAAATCCGTCGAAAACTAGCTAAAAATCAATATAATGATCCGTATTAAAAAAATATTATTATTCCTTTCAGCGCAGAGATAGAGTAACTGGGTTATCATACAAAAGATCCGGGATTCAAATTTAAGATGAAGACTAATTAATAATCAATAGGTAATTTTATTTTATAAATTAATAAAAGTCATAAATTATTTATAAAACAGTTATTTCTTAATAACCTTTAAATTAATTTTTAAAATCTTGTAGATTTTCGTTAGTAGGTCATAGAAAAAATATACTCTGAATATAATTTATAATGATTAACTGTAAACAAATTTAACAAGTTGATTCAGATTTTCCAGAAATTTAATACACTCTTGTTATTTATTACAGTAATTTTTATCGATAAATATATAATTGTTTATTTTAATTAATTAAAGTCGTACCCTTTGACAATATCTTGTTATTCAAAAAATACACGTAAATATTTATAATGACATAATTGATAAGAAGGTTCATAAGGGCTATCAGAACTATTTATCTTTAGAAAAGTTATGAAAGATGAGTCATAGTAATAAATTTAGCAAAGAACATATAAGTTGTGCAAAACAAAATTACATGATTTAATTCTGCTTTCTAACATTTTCTTATCATCTTTTGTTAATATTAATTAAATTCTGTAGGTATTAAACTTAGTCTATTTTATGTGATTATTTTTAAAAGTCGGGCACAATGCTTGGCAAATATGACGTTACTAACGTGCATCGAACTTTGTTTTGCAGAAACTATATCTGTTTACACGTATATAACTAGGTAATGTCATTTCAATCTAGAAATGAAGATAAATTTTAAAATGGATCGATCCCTTGTAAAATTTTCATTTTGTGACTTAACTAGTGTTGTTTTCAAGGTACTGAGTTAGGACATGTAAAAGAAAACATTATTTTTTTACAATTAATTTCCAAATACGTATTATTAAAATAAGCTTGTATTTAACCATTAAAATATTGATTTAGTGAAAATATAATATCAAGAACACCAAATCAAGAATTATTTTTAAAAATCTACTTACATGGATCGTATTATATTTATTTAGAATGTATCAAGTTCACTAATCAAAAATCAACAAACTTATGCGAACATATGGCATTTCTATCCTCTTTAACAAAAGACAGATGTATCATAAAGTCAGCGAGTAATAAACAATTTGATTCATGAAATGAAATAATTGAAAAACCCACATACTACATATACATATTATATGATGCTACGTATTTTCCAGGGAATTCCTAAACATTTGTAATTGTTATTAATTTTTCTCGTTTAATCAAGGTTGTAAATACGTTGTTATTTTTTTTTAGTTTTAAGTGCCCAGAATCATTTAAACCAGCACACACTTCATTTCTATTAATTAGTAATGTAATAAAATGTTTTCTTAGAAACAATAAAGTTTTCTACTAGATCGTAAAATTTTTAGTACATTGTAAAAAAGATTTTTACTTTTTTTGAAGAGGGTATGGGAGGTTAGATTAAAGAATTAGGCACCAAAGCGTTGATAATTAGCAACCGCACCAAGATAAGTTTTTATTCTAGTCAGACAAATTAGAAATAAGTACAGCCTCTCTTGACATTCTTAGAATAATGTATTGTCGTCGATGAACAGCTGAAAACACTGAACAATCAAGGGCTGTACGCCCAAGGATATGCCGATGACATAGTCATTCTTATCCGAAAGAAACACCAAAACACAGTCTTCGAACTCATGCAAAGAGCTCTTAGGCTGACAGAAATGACGAAAAACAAGGTTGGAGGTCTTAGAAACTCCGACTCTATTTGGAGGAAGGCTAAACAGAAAGAACCAAGGAAAATATCTGGGTCTAATCCTAGATAGCAAACTAACTTGGAACCAAAACTTTCAAAAAGTTACCAACAAATGTAAAATGTCTCTCATTGTAGGGAGACGGGTATTTGGACAAACATGGGGATTAAAACCAAAAATGGTCCACTGGCTATATTTGTCAATAATAATAATAATAACTTATGGAGGGGTTGTTTAATGGCCAAAAGTAAACCAGAAAACAGCCCTCAATACCCTCTCAGGAATTCAGAGACCGACATGCCTTTGTATTACAGGAGCACTGAGAAGTACATCGACAGCCTCTATGGAAATTATTCTAAACCTCCCACCCCTTGACCTAGTCATAAAGGGGGAGGCCAGAATGAGTGCATACAGACTGGAAATCTCCAACAACTGGAACCCATTGGGACGTATAAAACATACCAGAATAATACATAAAGTAAATGATTCTATATTAAACATGGGATCAGATCACATGACACCACTCCTAATCTTCAACAGACTCTTCCAGGTCAACTGTAACTGAAACGAGGTAAATAAGGAGATAAATAAATACTTGCTTTTTTATCCCTGGGCTCGTCTGACTATGTGTCTCCGAATAACACTGAAGCCTATTGGCTTATTGTGTTTTACCCCATGTTAGTTCATAGCACCCACTCTATCACCTTTGTACCTTGTACAAGTTTGTACAGATCCTTGGGTGAGTGGGTTCTATACGTTGTTGGATCAACCTGGGGTTGTCCAAAAAGAGCCTGTCTTTTGCGATCTAGAGCTTCGCATTCGCACAGTATGTTTGGCCGTTTCTGGTTTCTTGTGGCATAGTCGGCACATGAGTTCCCCATTGTACATGCCAATTTTGTTCAAGTGTCCCTTTACTGGGGCGTGCCCAGTCATGAACCCTGTTATCACTTACAACTGGTTCCTATTCATTAAGAGTAGTTCTCCAGTTCTTTTGGGACATGGTCTGCCTATGAAGGCTTTTCCATGTGCCTGTTTTGGGGTGCTTCTCCAATAGTTGATATGTTGTTCCCGAATCCAGTCATTTATAAAACCTTGGACTGTACTTTTTGGTACTCCTGGGTTTGTGTCTGGTTCCGGTGTTTCTTCTGGCCCTCTTTTTGAAGTTCGTCAGCCTTTTCGTTGCCTTCGATCCCTTTGTGACCTGGCACCCAAAATAGTTTTACTCTATTTCGGTCTGCCAGTGTTCTTAGTTCTTCAATGCATTCCCATACCAGCCTCGACGTAACTTTCTGACTCGATATGGCCTTAAGTGCCGCTTGGCTGTCTGACATTATTTGAATATGCTGATTTTCGACAGCTCTTTCATTGTTCGTTTTTGCACATTGCAAAATTGCGTATACCTCGACCTGAAATACCGAGAAATGTATTCTTATAGCATAGCTATGGTTAGTATCAGGGTTTTTGGAGAATACTCCTGCCCCAGTGCCTTCCGCAGTCTTAGACCCGTCTGTATACCAGGTTTGTTCCTGTCGTTGGGCATTGGGCTCCCTTATGGTGATCTCCGCTCTTTCCTGTATTAAAACCTCAAAGGGAGTATTAAAAGTGTACCTCTTGGTTATGTGGTCTGATCTCATGTCTAGCACGTCTCCTGTCACTAATCTTGAGATACTCATGTGACCTGGCCTACTGTCAAGATTTCCCATACTTGCTTAGCAGTCTCGTATAGTATACGGATGGATCTAAAACTAACAAGAAGACAGGCTCTGGCTTACATGGAGTTAACCCAAATGCGACATCAATGTCTCACTGGGAAAACATACCACTATATTTCAGGCTAAAATACATGCAATCGAATTGTGTGTACGAGAGAATTTAAAAAGGAAGTACAAAAAACAAACCATCCTAATTCTATCAGATAGCCAAGCAGCCTTAGGTTCTTGATTCAAACAGAATCAAGTCAAGGCTTGTCTGGAACTGCCTTGGAATACTAAATGATCTGGCAACCCACAACAAGGTAAAACTAGCGTGGGTACCAGGGCACAAGGGTATCCAAGGAAATGAAAAGGCTGATGAACTCGCCAAAAAGGGATCAGATCTACTATTCACAGGACCCGAACCTGTATTTGGGATAAGCAAAACCTCTGCTCGACAGGCAGTGACAGGTAGATAACCTCACAACACCAAATTCACTGGCAACAGATAAGAGGGCACAGAATCAGTAAGCTCATGCTAAGGGGAGCAAACCCACGCAAGGCTACTGAGGCACTACAACTCGCAAGGCCTCAGATATCCATAACTGTGGGATTACTAACGGGGCACTGCTTGCTGAAACACCTTCATGTGATTGGATTACACAATGATCCCACTACGTGTGGAAGAGGAAGAAATTTCATACCATGTGATCTTACTAGGCGACGTTTTATCCTTTTCGGCCTAGAACCGGAAAGTACGCCCCAGGAACACTTGGTAGGGAACTTATTAAAACTAACCAAAGACACAGGTCAATTCCAAAGATAGTACCTGGATACGGGGAAAGCAGGGGAATACAATAGACCCAAGAGGCCACAGTATTCTGAGCTAAACCTAACCCTACCTGCTTACAACCGACAAAGATAAAGATAAAGATTGTCGTCCTGGCCAGTCAGTTCTGTCCTATGATCTGATGTGTTGAGATCCTCCTCGATTATGCTTTTTTAATGAAGAAAAAAGTTTCAGTTAAAACCAAATGGTCATTGCAATGATTTTTTTATTAAATCTTTATGTACGTAGTCCATGGGCGAAGTTAGAGTTGAGGAGGCTTGGGGAGCTAAGCCTCCAAAAACCAAATTAGAGCCCCTCCAAAAATAATTCGAACATTTATCGCACACCACCCACACATTTCAGAACAGAAATTTAAAAACAAAAAGAATCGTGTCATTTAATTAATTCTGCAATTCGACATTTAATATGCGATTCAGATCTAAAATTTTAGCAATTGATGTTCACTGAATTCGGTCGATGGAAATTGACTTCAGAGAGGTTTGTCTCTCGACACTCTGTTTTTTTTAATATTATTATAATTTATAAATTTTGAATGAATGCATCTTCTTTAATTGTAAAAGATTTAATTACTATGCAGGTACTTTTTAAATACTTTATTTTTATTATTTGTTGTTATAGTGGCAACATAAATAATCATTTTGTGAAAATTTCAACTATCTACCTATTACGGATTATGAAATACAGCCCGCTGACAGACGGACGGACAGCCGAGGCTTAGTAATAGGGTCCCGTTGGTTACCCTTCGGGTACGTAACCCATAAAATTAATGCTTTTTATATTATATTAGGTGACTAGGGCTAGGACCTAGGATTTTAGCTCCTCCCCCCTTCAGATCTGATGACATAACTTTGCCCATGGTTTAGTCAGCCTGATTTAGTTTTAGAATAAAGTAGAGACGACAAAAATTATTTTGCGATATGACGGATGGACGCACTTGACGTGTGTTTTTTTTTTTTATGAATTTGTTTGAATCGCCGTTTTACTGATGCGACCTTATGTTGAATACGGTTTATTTGTGGTTGACCGTTGAAAGAAATAACAGTTGACAGTTTTGATTAAAATTTGTGTTTATAATTTTATTTGATTGTATCTATATACCTTAATTTGAAAGTATGTACTTTTAAAAGCCCATTTTTCGGTTTTTCTCATAATAGAACAATTAAATAATTAATTAACTCCTTAATTTCCACAATCCAGCTGTCAGTTGTCACATCTAATCGGAAAAACCATGCATTGAAACTTATCTATTAGTGTTGTATTGACTGCAGTAACGTTGGATAAAAAGACAACATTGTTAGTTCATCATTGATAGATTGATGAAAAAAAGACAGGAAGATACCGCACCGATTCCAACCCTGCCGCAACAGTTGAATAAAAGGACACACATTTTGCGATTCCTGTCGGACCGAAAAGTGTAATTAAAATGGCGACTAACGCCCGTATGCACCGTCCTCGTTTAATCCAGATCAAGCGTTTAGTACCAAGCTAAATATGGTACTAAACGCGATTAAACCCTTGATCTGGATTAAACGTGTACGGTGCATACGGGCGTTAGAGTCGTACTTTGATTTATTTGAAGTCAATAATTTTATATATGAATATTTTAGGATGAAAAATGTTTTTATATAAAATAATTGAAGCTATTTTAAAGAAATGACATTTTTTCTCACCAATAAGCCTAGTGAAGTTTGGCACATGACGTAAAAGTGTAATGCAAAGGTACGGATACTTTTTATTATATCTCAATGATTAACATAGACATTAACACAAGAGTTAAATTCAAAGCATTTTAATATACCTGTTTATACGGAATAATATAAACATTAACATAAATATAGTGAGAATAAATAAAATCGAACTTAATCCTTAAATTAATGTCGA